GTACTAACCTGTGAAGGTGGCGCCTTGTTGCAGGTACATCGAAGATGAAGCTGGAGCTATGGCGCCACAAGTAAGTCTCTTTGGCCTCCGCCAACCATCGCTCTCTCTACTCTAGCTCCTACTAGCACCCAGCGCTGAAGACTATTACTACTCCTGCAGTGCTCCTCGTGAGTGTTGCTGCCGGATCCTGAAGACTACCTCCTGCCTGCTGCACGTGAAGTGCTTGGGAAGTTCCTATGAATTGTCTCGTGACTGCCTGCAGCCTGTAGGGCGGGCCGGTCTTATATAGTGCTGGCTCGTCCAGGAGGCTGCTCTTGCCAATGCCAAAACGTGCCAGACCCTAGCGTTGAAGTTCAAACAAAGGTTGTCTTGAAAACAGGCCCAAAATGGCATGTGCTAAAACCCTGGTCTAGTGCCTAAGTTTCAGGGCAGGTCGATCTTATGAGGGCCTGAAAATGGCCCTCCGTTTCAGGTTGAAAAGACTCGGGGCCTGTAGGTCCTTGTTTTCAGGCTTTCAGGCTGAAACGACACAGGGCTTGTAGGCCCTCGTTTTCAGGCTTTTAGGCTGAAACGAAAACAGGCCCTACACGTATAGACCCTTAGTCTACCTGGTCGGGCCCTACTGGGCCCGTGTGGTACTGAGTATGCCACACTCCCCCCTCCTTGAAAGACCGAGCTTACCTGCGAGGGCGAAGCTGTCTGTTGGAGGGAGGGACTGAAGTCCGGGTGGGAAGTTGTGCAACTTCCGTGGATGGGGTTAGGCCCGAAGATGCGAAGGTGGCTAGCATTCGTGATTGGCCACGACCTAAGTGTTTCACAGAGGTCAGATCTTTCTTAGGGATGACCGGCTACTACCGCGATTTTGTCTAAAACTATAGTTCAGTGGCCACCCGTTTGACTGAGGAATGTGAAGGAGCTTTCTCATCTGTTCCGCTTGGCCGTTGGCTTCGGGATGATTCCCCAAACTCATTTGGAGTTGGCTGCTCATTTGTTCAGCACCCTTCTTCAACATTTCACTGGTGAACCGGACATCTCTGTCACTAACAATAGTCTTGGGCAGTCCAAAGTCACGCACCCAGTTGTCCAATGAATAACTTGATGACGTGCTCACTCCTTGCAGTCTCTGGCATGGGGATCAGTCTAGCGTACTTAGTAAACCTGTCCACTATGACAAAGATGTGCCTCTTGCCACTCTTGCTGGTCACGAGGGTGTCCATGAAATCCATGGAGACAATGTCCATGAAATCCATGGAGACAATCTGTCCCGAACCTGCAGGAATGGGCAAGGGTTAGACTAACCCAATCGGTGCTTGAGTTCGCGGATTATCCCGCTGACAGACTTGACAAGTCTGGACGTACTTCTTCACATCGTCAAGCATACCAGGCCACCAGAATCGCTGCACTAAGTTAGCATTGGTCTTCTTATAGCCGAAGTGCCCTATCGCATCATGACACTCTCCTAAAAATAAACTACATAAAAACTCTTTAGACGACACACACAATCTTTTAAACCTAGCTTTTTCAGGAAAGAGCAGCCCATCCATCATCACAAACTCGTCAGATGTGGCCTTGTCTTGGGCCTCAAGTTCGCGTATGATGTCCATCATGACGGGGTCGTCCTTCTAGGCATCAACCAAGGATCGAGCTATATTGTCGGATAGGCCAAACTCAGTTATCAGCGCTCCTAGGTAATCAGCCCTCCACAACAATGCATCAACAACCTTATTCTACTTCCCCTTCACGTAGTCTAGCTTGAATTCATACTGATCTATGAATTCAAACCAGCATTTGAGTGCATCAGAAAGTACAGGGTGCATCTTGATCCACTTGAGTGTCAGATGATCGGTTCTCAAATAGAAGAACGTCCCCAACAGGTAGTGCTTCCATTCGATAAGAGCCTTGTAAAGGGTATAGAGTTCCCTTTCGTAGGTGGACTTTGCCAACTTCTTTGAGGCATCTTCTTACTCATATACTCGATCGCCCTCAACTTCTTCCCTTCCTGCTGCGCCAGCACTGCGCCAATGCCATATTGGCTTGCGTAAGGCTAGTGAACTCGGACAGGAATTTGGCATATTTAGAAAGCTAATGCCACAGTACTTCTGTCCTTGGGAAGTTCTACATATTGTGGGTAGTCATTTGGATGGTCCCTCGTACGTAATAAGAATCCTTGTTCATCTGCGCACATATCATCTATTTCATGCTTCAAAGCTTGCACCTTTTGCTGAGACTGATCAGTTTCCATCAAGGAGATCAATGCTGCCCCCAACCATGGATGGCCATGAGGAAGTCAGCGACATCCTGGAACATAGAAACTTGCCTGTTCCCAAGCCTGTCGGCAGGGGAAGACCGCCAAAACATATGCGGGAGTATCGGGTCGGATTCAGGCATCTACAGATCCAAAAGACGATCGTTGCTTCACAAGAGAGGAGCTTGTCAAAACAGCACCTCAAGCTGTGGCAGAGTACGAACGTAAGTTAAATGGGAAAGCACCTGCGTAGAAGCATCTCAACGGACTTTCGAAGCTAAGGGGGATGGAATGCGAGGATTGGGCCCTCCAAAGGCCCCTTTGGGGCACAAAGACGTTCTGGGCTTAGGCCCCTAGCAAGGCGGGCCTGCACATCCACATGAGGCCTATTTCCGCCATTTTTCATATGTGGGGTACCAGACAGTTGCCGCACCCAGCTGGTTACAAAGCAACGTGAGCCTTCCCTGGCTCGTTCCAAAAAGCAGCAGTTGTGTCGTACAGTTGAGACCAGGGCTCATTCGGTTGAGGCCCTGGGTGCACGAGTTCAGAGGCCGACAAGTCGCGTAGCGGCCACGGACCAATGAGAAAGCAGCTCCAGTGTCACACACATGCCACGAGCCAATGAGATCGCTACGGACACTTGGAGCCTCGTGGCCTACCTGGACATGGCTAACTGAACGAGGCCCAGGCCAATTTGAAACTGTGCCTGGGCGCAGATACTGCGGGCCAACCTGAAGCTACTGGGCCCCTACACGCCAGGCCCAGACCAGGCAGCGGCCGGCCGCACTTTCAATTGAGGAAAGTGAGCGCACAGGGGCACGGCATTCTCGCCTAGGCAGGCATAGCGGCCATGCTGCTGCATTGCCGAGCGCTGCTGCGATAGTGTTAGGCGGCCAAATGCGCGCACTGGGGCAGAGGTGGAAGAGGGGCGCTGCTGAGGCAGCGGGCACATGAGGCCATAGCCGGGCCACTGGGCACAGGCGCGATGATGGCGATGGTGGTCTTCGGGTAGGAGGCGCATGCAGTAGGGAGACAGGGTGTGATGAGGGGAGGAGAGAGAACGTGCCTGGTGTATGCTGGCGGTCTGCATTGGTGATGACGTCAAGTGCACTGGTCTTCAGCTTCGATGTGTTCCTGTTGCATGAATGTAGATAGACTAGATAGGCTGAGTAGTGTAGGCTGGGCGTTGGGCGCCAATCAGTAGGAGCGACATTGGATACTATGTTGGTGTGGCCAGAGAGCATCGGCATGGACATTTGAGTTCACTGTATTGCTCTTATTTGGATGGTATCTTGGTGCATTGCGCTCTCTGCTTGGTACATGACTATCTGGACTACTTCGTAATTTTGCAATTTGGACTTCTCTCTATCGCTCTCGCTCATATTCCTTGCACTTAGTTCCGAATAGGCAAAAATGAAATGTACCAGCAGGTCACTAACGCGCCAAGTTCAGAAAGGCAATAAAAGGGACGCAGCAGTTTCGGATAAGTGCAGATATCTCAACTACAGGCGTGGGCTGAGGTGTGCGGAGGGCCTGAGTTGAGAGTCTTCAGACACGACAAAAGAAAAAGGCCATTTTGAATAGTATTTTACTATTTTCGCTTTTTTGCGCATTCCAAACTGCAGTCGCGACAAAACTGCACCTAGTATTTTTCTTGCCTATTTGAAACTCAAACCATGGCTGTGACGTAGTTGTTTCTTTCTTTTTTTTGGGTGTGTGTGGCTATGGTCTGAAATTGGGAGGTGGAGTTCTTTTTTTTCTGGCGTAAGGCCTGTTTTTTTTCGTTTGGCTTTGCCCGCATAGATGGCAGAGGAGGAGAAGGGGTAGTAGAGAGGGCACGGCATGACCGTTAGGAGCAGAAGGACGTGGCAGAGAAGTGGCAGGAAGAGAGAGAGAGAGAGAGAGAGAGAGAGAGAGAGAGAGAGAGAGAGAGAGAGAGAGAGAGAGAGAGAGTCTCTCTCTCTGTCTGAGTGTGTGCTTGTAAACAGTCTATCACAAGCCAACCGCCCGTTTTTTCCTCCTCTTTGCCCATTCCATCAATCATTGTTCATCAGGCAGTTCAAGCAACTTGCAGTAAGCCATTCACAGAAAGGGAGCAAGAGGCAAAAGAGGGGAGGGCCTGTGAGAAAGTGTTTCGTTGGACTTTCCCCCAAAGACAAGGAAGACTTACCTCAGGATGCCTGAAGATCCTGTATTCCGTGAGATCCAGTCCTTCGATGATCAGTTTCTCTGAGAAAGAGAAATTCAAGAAGAAGAGAAACAACAGATTTTGAAACTCTTACACTTCAGACAGCAAACAAAATGGCATCCATGAGAATATCCAGAACATTCGACTTCCCTGGCATGATGTGCCATACAATACACAGGGGTTCAACCCCTCATTCACTCACAAATCGAGCACACCCAGACTGAAAGATGCATACATACATGCCTGTAACGGATCAATGCAATCCCTTGCTATGAGAGTGATGACCTGATACTGTAGCTCACGTTAATGTACTGACCTAGAACCAGAGGGTGGCAACCGACCCTGCACATACATTGGAACCCAGACCAAGTTCATGGCCAAATTCAATCAGGACCAGGGTAGCCGGTATTCGGGTCCAGCCGAACTGCCGAACCGAAACGGCCGAACGTTCGTCCCCCTTGGAGATGCGTTCGGCTGAGCCCGAACGCCAAAACCCCTGATACAGATGTGCCCGCCCTAAGTGAAGGCGGGCCTAACAAATCACGAGAGGCCCTATGCTGTCAATTTCGTATTCGGGGTTCAGGCAGTTGCGTCGCGTCAGTTGGTTGAGGGAACCAGGCCCCGAGCAGCAAAGATTTTCCACGGCCTTCCAGGCCTTTCCTGAAATGCAGGCCCTGGGCAAGAATCGCAGCATCATACACGGACAGTTGGGAGGCCCAACCGAACGAGGCCCAGCAGCTGCAACAGAGGCACAGCCTCCCGGGGCCTACCGGAAGCTTCTAGGCGCTGTGTGGCATACTGTGTAGCCACACGGGCCTGCAGGGCCCGTTCCGCATTCTCAGCCTAAAAGCCTACAAATAAGGGCTTACAGGCCCCATGTCGTTCAGCCTGAAAACTGAAAACGAGGGCCTGCAGGCCCTATTTCGTTTTCAGCCTAAAACAGGGCTTTT